GGCACTATGTGGAGAAGATTTTGATTGTCACACCTGGGAAGGAGGAGAGGCTGCTACTGGCATCTAATGGGTAGAGGCTAGGGATGCTGCTAAACATCCTCCAGTGCACAAGACAATCCCCAGCCCCCACAAAGAACCATCTGGCCCCAAATGTCAGTAGTGTTAAGGCTGAGAGATCCTGCTCCAAATGTTACTAAATTGAGATGATAATAAAAATGAATGTTTAGGAGTGCTTGCTAGCTCCCAGGTGCTAAGCTAAGGAAATAGCCCATTTCTTCTCCCTACAGCAGCGTGACTCTGATGCTTAGGGAGGTTGAGTCCCTGCGCTCCATGTGGTGGAGCTGAGGTCGACCCAGGGTGGGCTCTAAGCACTGTCTAAGAGGGTACTGAGGCCTGAGCTGTGTGTAATGGGGTGGGTGGGGTGGCAACTTAGTGACCACGTGGACTGGTGAAAGGAAAGTCCAGGAACAGCAACTAGAGACCCTCATCTTTCTTTCTGAAATACTTGCTGTTACAACCCTTTTCTTTAAAGCTAACATGACCCCTTCCTAAGTAACAGAGAAAAGAAGGTGTAAATAACCAAATGCTGTAGAAAATCCCAAAGCTTGTTTTATTTTGTTTATTTTCATGGTGCTAGGGGTGGAATGCAGTGGAAAATTTTGCATGCTAGACAAACACTGTAGCACTGAATGACACCCCCAGTCCCCCCAAAGTTTGTTTTAATAACTTATTTCATTTTCTTTGCACTTCTCTACCATTGCCATAAATTTACATTGATGATAGAGAACAAGTTTATGGGTGAACACACCTGGGTTTGCATCCTGTCCCCTCCACTTATTTGCTCTTGAGCTAAATGTTCAACTTCTCAGTAATACTCCTAAGCTAAGGTGTTTATGAGGATTGTAAGTGACAGTATATGTTAAGTACATTGTCCAGTATTACACATAGAGTACACCCTTAGATATGGTAGTATTAATTTCACTTCTGAACAGGACAAAGAGATTTTTTTTATTTTTTTACTGATAAGCCAACAAAGGAGATATAATGAAATCATAAAAAAAAAGAAAAAAAGTAAAGAAGAGAAGGACAAATGGGATCAATGGAAAACAGAAGACAGACTTAAACCTCAGCGTAGCAACAATCACATTATAAATAGAGCTTGTCAGATTGGACAGAAAAGCAAAAGCCAACCATAAGCCTGACAAGAAATGCACTTACAATATAAAGACATAAATAAGTTAAAAGTAAAAAGATGGGAAAAGATATTATACTGACGCTAATCAAAAGAAAGCTGGAGTGACTTTATATGAGACAAAGATTGTTACTAGGGATAAGAAGGTCATTTCATAACAGTAAAGGGGATTTGCCAAGAGGACATGACAGTCTTAAATATTTATGCTCCTAATAGCAGAGCTTCAAACTACATAAAGAAAAACTGACAAAGGCAAAAGGAAAAATAGACAAATAGAAAATGGAGCTTTCAATTACCCTTTTTTCATAATTAATAGAACAAGTAGAAAAATTGTAATAATATTGAAGACTTGAACAAAACTCTCCAACCAGACCAAAGTGACATTTATAGATCACTCTCTCCAGCCCCCGCAGAACAATTCTTCTCAGTGCACACAGAGCGGCTACAAAGATAGGCTGTACTCTGGGCCAAAACCGGGTTTTAATAGATATAAAAGGATTCAAGCCAAACACCATAAGGAATCAAATTAGAAAAAAAGAAACAGAGATTTCTGGAAAATTCCCCCCAAATTTGGAATCTAATGCACTTCCAAATAACCCATTGAACAAATAAGAAATTCAAAGGGAAGTTAGAAGGTATTTGAGCTGAATTAAAATGAAAGCACAGCATAATTAGGGGATGCCCACCATGCAGTAATTAGGGGAGACAATTGTAACAGGAAATGCATAAAGATCTAGAAAAAGGGCAAGTTACACCCAAGGCAAACAGAGGAAAATACTACAGATCAGAGTGGAAATCAGTGAAATAGAATACAAACTGGCAAACTGCAGGTGCTGCCTGTGTTTGTAAGTTAAGTTTTACCCAAATGCAGCAAAGCCCTTGTATTTACATATGGCTAATAGTTGCTTTTTCTCCTTTTCCCCCAGAGTGGAGAAGTTGTGACAAAGTCTATCTGGCCTACAAACCTAAGCTATCTACCATCCAACCTTCAACAACATTTAGTAGCTCAGAAAAACAATAGACAAAATAAAAAAAAAAAAGCTAGCTTTTGAGATTGATAAAAGTCAGTAAGACTAATCAGGGGAAAAGGAGAGAAGACATAAATGATCAATCCTCAATATCAGTGAGAGATCTTGTAACTAGAGATTCTTCAAATGTTAAGAGGGTAATAAAGGAATATTATAAAGAACTTTGTACATATTAAAAAATAGAAATTTATTGTGAACCCCCCCTGCACACACACAATGGAATATGACTCAAGCCTTAAAGAAGAATAAAATTATGGCATTTGCCAGTAAATGGATGGAGCTGGAGAACATCATGCTAAGCGAAATAAGCCAATCCCAAAAAACCAAAGGCCGAATGTTTTCTCTAATATACAGATGCTAATTCCCAATAAGAGGTGGGGGCTAGGAAAGAATAGAGTTATTTTGGACTAGGTAGAGGGAGGTGAAAGGAGGGGAGAGGTATGGGAGTAGGAAGTATAGTAGAATGAATCTGACATTATTACACTGTGTATGTGTGATTACACAGCCCGTGTGATTCTACATCATGTACAACCAGAAGAATGAGAAATTAGATTCCATTTATGTATGATGTGTCAAAGTGCATTCTACTGTCATGTATCACTAACTAGATCAAAAACAAAAAAACAAAACAAAAAACCTCCCCACAATGAAAGCTCCAGACCTAGGTAGCTGCACTGGTGAATTCTATAAAATATTTAAAGAAGAAATAATAGAAGCTCTATACAAACTCTCTAAAAACAATTGAAAAGTGGGAAATCCTTAATAGGTCATTCTGTGAGGCCAGGATCACCCCAATGCCAAAATCAGACAAAGACATTCCAGGAGAAAATAAATGCAGGCCCATTTCCCTCATGAAAGAGAAGAAAAGTCTCAAAAAGATCAAACCCAACTATATGTAAACAGGGTGGTGGGATTTATCTCAGGTATTCAGGGTTGGTTTAACATTTGCAAACCCGTTGAAATGATTGTACTAAGTGATTCATCCATAGTAGGATCATTTCAATAGATGCAAAAAAGACATTTGACAAACCCCAGCATCTGTCCCTGATAAAAATTCTCTGCAAATTAGATAGAAGGAATTTCCTTAACCTAATAAAATATATCCTTGAAAAAAACCTATCATGGATATACTTAATGATGAAAATCTGAATGCCTAAAGATCAGGAATCAGAAGGTTCTTGCTTTTGCCACTTCTATTCAACATTATATTTGAGGCTCTAATCTGTGAAATTAGAATGAAATACAAAGTGCCCAAAATGGAAAGGAAGAAGTCCTTTGTAAAATTCAACCTGTCTTTATTTGCAGGCAGCTGGGTCGCCTACGTAGGTAACCTGGCAAGCAAACAGAAGATAGGCTTTCCAACATGTGCAGGAACATCTGCATACAGCAGAATGAATTTATAGCACATAGAAAAATTAACTCTTAGGCCTAAATGGAAATCTTAAAACTATGAAACTTCTAAACGAAAAACTAGGAGAAAATTTTTATGTCCTTGGGTTAAGCAAAACTTTTCTCAGATACAACACAATACAATTCAAGCACACCCAATCAAAAAAAAAAAAAGATAAATTGAACCTTGTAAAATGAAAAACTTGTGCTGTTGGCACATGCGCACACGCACATGTTCTATGCCCAGGAAGCACTTCTCCCCATCTGGGTTCCCACCCTGGGCCACAAACTCCAGTGAAGAGCAGCCTGGGTCTCAGGATGCTCCCCAACTGCCTTTATACTCCCTTGGGAATATGGGTGCCAGGGACTTAACACTCACCAGCAGATGGTCCTGGTTAGCGTCTGACGCATTGGGGCTTTAAGAAAGTAATTCTGAATTACATATTATGGGATATGAAGAGTGGGGTGTATAAAGGCAGACTTGTTCTTAAAACTTTTTAGATTGGGCTGGGGTATGATTAGTGGTAGAGGATTTTTACCTGGCATGTTTGAGGCCCTGGGTTCAATTCATACCCCCCTCCCCTGAGTCCCTTAAATTGCCCATAAAGTTCAGAATAATCTCAAAGATTAAGTAATTTACACATGAAAATTTGAGAACCAGGAGAGCCACTGGGGCAGTGGGATCAGTTCGTAAGAGGTCGTGGTTCTTGCCCTCTTGCCTTTAGATATGGGTCCAGTGTCGAGCTGAGATGGACACAGAGAAGTCTGTGCTCCCTCCCGGTTTAATAACCATCCTCTGTAACAGTGGTAGAATCAGGGAATCTGGTCTTGTCTTCAGGATGGGGAGGGGAGGCTATCAGGTCAGAGCTGAAGTTAAAACCATACGGTGATGTGGATTTAAAGCAAGGAAAGGTGATGTTCACAAAACACATAATGAGGCTACTGTGGGGACTGAATTTCTCCGACACTGGCTGAAAATCTGCATTTTTTCCCCTAACAGTGCCCTGTGTACATTGTTGTTGTTTTTTTCCTCCTATATTGGGGATTGAACTTTTTTTTTTCCAATCCTCCTGGCTCAGTCTCCTGAGTAACGGGGATTCAGACATGTACCACTGTACCTCAATCTGAGATGCTTTTTATGATTTCTATTTTGATAAGAAAAACAAAGTGAGAAAAGAGAAAACCAGAAAGAAAGATGGGTGAGGTGTGAAGGAGATAGGTTGGAAAATGAACCAAAAGCAGGACTGGAGTCAGGAGGCTCTGGAAAACTCTCCTCAGGAAATGAAGGAGAGCTGTGTAGGTTGGTGTCAGGACTGGAGAGCATGCAGTGGGTGGGCACCCTGTCGTCCCACATGCAGACCCTGCATAAGCCTTGTCTCCCTGTCTTGCAGGTGGTGCCGGGGAGCGGGAGAAGGTGCCAGCCAACCCTGAGGCGCTCCTGCTCATGGCCAGCTCCCAGCGTGACATGGAGGACTGGGTGCAGGCCATCCGCCGGGTCATCTTGGCCCCGCTTGGCGGAGGTACTGCCCGTAGCTCGCATGCCCACCCTCTAGAACCCTTGCCTGCAGGTAATCTTGCCCTCTCCCACCCGAGCCCCAAGTTCCCTCTCACTTGGGACTTGCTGGCTGCACATCTGACTGCGCCCTGGCCCCTCTACTGCTGGCCTTCAAGTCACACCTCTCATCTGTGTGCAAAGCAGGTCCACTTTTCAAAAGACAGGCCATCCTCCAACCAGAGTCCCATGGCTTGTGTACTGACCTCTCTGCTTCCTCCTGAATGCTGGGTGGATGCGAAGTGGTCTGTGCACAGGCCAGAGGTGGGCTGCGTGCTTGCTCAGGGTCATACCCCATGCATCGGTCCTGCTTCCTTCTGCTCCGCTGGACCTTACTGAAGCCATACAGGGACCCTGCGCTCCCCGAAACCCACTCCCTATCCCTGCTCTGAAAGCACCTATTGCCACTAACTTGCTTCTTCCTTTGTTCAGAAGCAGTTCTTGGGTGCCTAAAGGTACTAACTTCTATTCCAGGCACTAGGAATTCAGTGGTAAATAAAGCAGATCATATCTCCGCCCTCCCCACCCTCCATTCTCCTCTCAAGACAAATGTAAACAAATGCATGTGTCTGGTGATGTCCAGGAACAAGAGGTGCAAGGAAGCAAAGTAAAAAAGCTCAGTGAGAGGGCAGAGGGGATGTCACTAGGGTGACTAGGATGGTCACACTAGGGTGGCCCAGAAGGCTTACTAAAGTGACTGGGAGAACAAGAAGTATGGGGAGGGATGAGAGAACCAGGAGAAGGATGGCAAATGCAAAGGCACAGGTGGGACTAAGCTGGGCAGGCCCAAGTGTCTAAGGGGATGAAGACAGGGAGAGTGGGAGGGTCTGAGGTGAGGGAGGTGTCTGGGCCCTGGAGCCAGATAGATAAGAGTGGCCACAGTAGGTCAAGGTAGTCATGAGACAAAAAGTAAGGGGGCATGCTGGGGTGGAGTGGAGGAGGTGGTTGGTGCATAGTGGCCATTGCAAATAAGTTCTGAAGATGGAGATGGAATTATGCCTATGGTCTGGACATGTTACAAGAGAAGGAAAGCTGTCTGGCTGTTGTCTGTGTAGGGTGGTATTCATGCAAAGTCAAGAAAGAGCTTTTAGGATAGGGCCTCCATCCCCTAGGACCTGGTGGAAGAGGGCACCAACTCCTTGCTGGATTTGGGAACAGGAGTCTCAGGACTGGGTTGGGTCCTGACACACAAGCTTGGGGCATCCCCCTCTCCCTGCAGTATTCGTAGGTACATACTCCAGGTGGAAACAGACTCTCACCCTGGGGGCTGAGAGCCCATCTCCAAATCTGGCAAGCCCCATAAACTAAGCCTGTCCTTTGCCCGTCACCCCAGCCCTCCTATCTCACCCCTGGTTATGCCCTGCCTGATCACCTTCATTAAACCATAAACCCCTCACATAGAAGGCTTAGTGTAGTGTTGAAAGCTAAGTTATTCTCTTGGACTTCATAAATAGCATCACACTGTCAGCTGTGGCCTCCTTGACCCTGATGGTTGCAGCAAATTTGACCTATAATTCCAGTTTAATAGCCTGGGAAGGCAGGAGCCACCCAGACACTGCCACAACCTCCCAATGGCTTCCTTTGGTACAATGTTGTTGAAAGTGAGCCTGTGGAACAGGTAGAGCCTAGAAGCAGAATCCCATGTTGCTGGACTTTGATTGATGACAGGTGGCACCTTAGAGTACCAGGAGGCAAGACATCATCAAGACCTTGGGTAGAGAAAGATTGTTAAAAAAATAACTTACAAAAAGCACTAATATGTTTGGAAAATATTGATATATTGTACTAAATAAAACAAGAGCATTTGTTCTTTAAAAGGTAGATTAGGAGACCAAAAAGAGATATAGTCTGAGAGAAGGTGTTTACAACACATAAACCCATCAAATGACTCACACCCCAGCCTATTATAAATCAATAAGGCAAAGACAGACAAGCCAGTAGCAACACTGGAAAGAGGCTTGAATGGGCACTTTGCAAAAAAAGCAGTCATGACCGTGGTCATGGTCAGTGGTGTGCAACTACATTGATTATCAGAGAAATGCAAATTAAACTACAACACGGTTCATCTGTTCACCACCAAAATGACTAAGTGAAAAAGAAAGTTCCAAGTGGTGATGAAGTTAGAGGGCTACAGAACCTTGCATATATTACTGGGGAAATTGTTTGGCATAACTGGTAAAGTTGATGCTGTTGCCTCCGGGGGTCCCAGAAGTTCCACTAGGAGACATGTCCTATATAGAAATGTATGTACAGCTTCAGGAATAGCTGATGTGCTCAGAACACATAAGATGTTCATGGCAATCATACTTTAATAGCCTGACACTAACCCAAATGCCCAGCAACAGTATTATGAATAAATAACTCCAATGGGAAATAAATAACTACTTGGGAAATTCCACAACAACGTGAAAGAATTGCTCCACCTAACAACATGCATGAACCTTTAAAATGATGTGGAACTCAGGAAGCCGGATTAAACCGAAAAATAATATGCTGTATCATTCCAGTTATATCAAATTTATAGCAAAAATTCATCACAAAAATACAAAGCAAAGAAATAAATGCCTTAAAACCCAGGATGGTAGGGAGGAGGGAGGAGGTTAAGAGTGGGGGAGGGGAATAAGGTTTCTGGAATGTTCTTTGCTTGACTTGGGTAGAGTTATGCAGGTGTTCATTTTGCAATAATGATATTAATCTGTATATTTATACTTTAAGTACTTTTCTGGATGTGCATATATTTCACTATGTTAAAAGATAAAAAGAAAAATAGAGAAGAAATAACAAAGAGTCTAAGTAATTTGTTAAAGATGACATGGCCAGTAAGGGAGTAGGCAGGTGGCAGTTTTGACCTCAAAGACCATGCTTGTTATCCCCAGCAGCATGTCCACAAGCAGCAACCAGAGGGACACCCTCACACAGTTCTACCTGTGCTTGGTGGGCCTTGTTCCCCACCCACACATCCATCTCTCTGCTTGCTCGGGATGGGGACCATTGGCAGAATCCCAGGTAGAACCCAGCCTCACCACTCCCTTGGGGCCCGCCATTTGTCTCCAGGCTTTGTGCTGAAGGACTGATTTGTGGCATTAAACAGGGACTGTCATCAAAAACACTTTATCTCCCTTCTACCAGAAATACAGAGGAAACAAAGAAGTGCCAGGAGCCCGCAAATGCCAGACATGTCTGGGCAAGCATGATGCTCGCAGGTGGGCTCAGTCAGCCTGGGAAGGTTTCCTGGCAGAGCTGTTGTTAACCTGGGTCTCCTGGAAAGGAGGCTTAGAGGGTCAGTCCTTCTCTGCTGTTTCATAAGGGAGTCAGAGAGCCCTTTCAGACATGTTTGCTCTGGGGCCCTGCAGCCACCTCTGCCAGACTCCAGTAGGCAGCACGTGAGCTGCAGATTGGAAAGCCTGGCTGTCCCCACTTGGCAGGCAGCTATCATTGCTGATGACTCACCCTGGGGTGGCTTACTTGGAAGGCCTCAGGTGCATTCATTCATTCATCCACTCACTCATTTAGCCAGTCTTTTATTTTCTCAAATATGTTGTAAGCATTGGGGCAATATTGTGAGCAGCAAGACGGGTCCTCATGGGCACTCAGGTTCTAGTTGAGGAGATGGGCGATAAGAAAACTAAGCAAATCTATCTGTAGACCAGATGGGCTGAGTGTAGTGGAGGGTGGGGGTTGGAGTTTAATGACCTCTGAGTAAAGGAGATAACAGCATGGGCAGAGGGGTCGTTCTGAAGAGCAGCAAGGGGACCAGGTCACTGGAGCAGAGTGGATGAAGGGGTGAGAAGAGGAGGGTGGCCAGGGAGGGAAAGGGGACTCGTCATCGTGGCACAGTGATTGCACCCCAGCATTTTGGACAGAGAAGTGTCAGAGCCTGACAAGACCCCTTTGGCTGCTGTGTTGAGAATAAGTGAAGGGAGGGCCAGAGAAGAACATGGAGACCAGTTAGGAATTCCATACCCAACGATGCAGGTGAGAGGTGAAGGCAGCGTGCCCTGGACTGTGGTGGTGATAGGAAGTACAGCTGAATCTGGATCTGCAGGTTCAACCGGGGATTGCAAACATTTGAGAGAGAGAGAGAGAGAGAAAAAAAAGTGTCTGTCTTGAACACGCATAGTCTTTTTTATTGTCATTACTTCCTAAAATATATAGTATAACAACTATTTATTTAGCTTTTGCATTTTATTAGGCATTACAAGTAATCTAGAAATGATTTAAAGTATGTGGGAAGATTGTGTGGTTCTATGCAAACACTATGCCATTTTTATATAAGGGACTTGAGCTTCTGTGGATCTTGCTATCTGTGGGGGCTCCTGGAACAAATTCTTGACACCGCAGGATAACTATAAATGAATTCGTAGTTTATTGTGGTTTATTTTGAAGGTAGAACTGGTGGCTTTGCCAGGCTAGTATGATCTGTAGAGACTGAATGAGAGAAATCATTGGTAATTCTAGAGTCTTTTGATCTAAGCAACTGGAAAGATGGATTGGCCATGAACAGGATTACAGGAAGGACAGTTGTTTGGAAGGAAGATTGGGGCTTAGTTTGGGCTACTTAGTAGATGGTTAAGTTTGAATGTCAAATAAGCAGTTACATTTAAGTGTAGGGATCAGGAGAGAGGACCAGGCAGGAGAGAGAACTTGGAGGCCTGCTGGCACACAGATAGAATCTGAAGCCCTGAGGCTGGATGAGCGCTGCTGATAGACCACCTAGAGGAGGGCCCAGACTGAGCATGCTCATTGGTGACTTGATCACAGGTGGCTTTGTTGGAGTGCGGGCAGTACAGCCCAATAGTGATCGTGTGAAACAGTGCAGGGAATGGGATTGTGAGCATAACCAACTTTTTCAAGCCATTTACTATAAAGGGAAAGAGGAATGGCACAGTAGTACCTGGAGGGGAAGTCCAGTACAGAGTGGTTTTGTGTATGTTATAATCTGGAATACAAAACAGCATTGCCAAAGATGGATGGTGCAGCAGAACATTGCTGGAGGGCCAATCCATCTTAAGGAGA